AAAAAAAAAAAAAAAAAAAAAAAAAAAAAAGGAAAGCTAAAACTACATCTTCAGTGCTGGTCCTCCCCTAGTGAGCTCATCATAAAGAGTATTATATAAAATGCTGTTCAGTTTTAGCACACATTGTGTTACAACCTTGACAAACAAATCAGGAGAACAGTATGATGCTTAAGCCATAATGTCTCAGTGTAATGACTGCTGTGTAGACTTCTGAGAAATTAAGTATCAATCTTAATTGAATAGTTCAGCTGACCATATGTGATGTCCTTGTGTTTGTAGGGCACTGAAGAACTAGAAGTTCGAATCCTGGTGCAAGCTCGACCAGGCCAAGATATCAGGTCTGTATTTATTAAAATATCTCTGTTAGAAATTGAAGGGCTGATGAATTTCAAAGTAATTTTCCAATCATGAGTGCTGATGACATTTTGACAAGCTAAGGAGCGTCCATGGACACTCCTGACCTGGAGCAGGACCAATGAAGGAAAAGTACTTTGAATCTCATTCTGTTTCTCTTTCATGTTGTTTTTCTGTCCTGATTTTCAGACCCATAGGACATGACATTAAAAGAGGTGAATGTGTGCTGGCTAAAGGAACCCACATGGGTCCATCTGAGATTGGTCTCTTAGCAACTGTTGGAGTAACTGAAGTAGAAGTTAACAAGTTTCCAGTGGTTGCAGTAATGTCAACAGGGAACGAGGTAAGAAAAGTTTATTTAGAATTATAGTCTGAATTTTTTTTTGAGGCAATGTTTTGGATAGTGATTTCCACCCAACTCCCAAGCAGACTCACTTTTGATGGCAATTCATGCTGACATGAGCTATTTTTGTGAGGCATTAACCCATAATAATCTATCTGCTTGTGTTTCCTCCCTTAGGGGCTTTCTCACAGGTCTCACACTCTCTTTGCCAAAATTTTGGTAATGTATCCAACCATGTCCCACCTGTTTTCCTCCTGCCAGAAAGGGAGAGCCTGTGGGGTAGTTGGGGTTGTAATTCATGTTGCCAGTCATGACTGAAGAATAATTTCTTTTAAGCAACACCTTCTCTGTCTATAATACAAATGGCAGACAAGCTATCTTGGGAAACTGAATAGTTCTACCAAATGCCTTGTTTGCAGTATTGTGCCTCAATATTCTTTCTTATAGTAGCACATATTGAAATCCAGACACTCTCCTGTTGGTAGACTAGCAGACCAGCTTTATAATTGCTTTAACTGTATCAGAAAAATCAGGTTTAAGATTAAGTTAATTTACTAGCTTTACATATGTTGTGTGTTGACCCAGGCCAGCAACTGTGCCCTCTCACTTCTTCCAGCAGCAAGACAGAGAAAGAATAGGAAGAGCAAAACCTAAAGAACATGTGGGTTGAGACAACATGAAGTTTTAACTGTCCTTTAAGACAAACTTCTTGAAACCCAGCCACAAATATTAACTCAGTAGCTGTATTCTCATACAGCTTGAATATGTTAAATTTTGAAAGATTTTGAAAACTTTTAGTAGGTTGAAATTTGTCATCTAGGGTACAGATTATTGCCAGATTTCATAGCATAAACAGGGTGTGGCATGCAGAAACCAAACTACTGAGGAACAAATCCATAGAGCAACAAGGATCATAGGTGGTGATTTTCTGATTAGTAACTTCCATATGATTGAAGATTCTTTCATGTCATTAAAAGGTCCTTTACTGTAGGCATTCTCTTTTGTAAAATGTTAAAACATTCTTTAACATCCTATGACAATCTTCACAGAACGGAGCTGCAAGCCAAAGCATAACATTTACCATGCTCCACTTCTCATTATTCTTACCTTACTACCTAATGCTGTGATTTTGACAGATACATTCTTATTAGTAGTATTATTATTTACCTCCTGTCAATATTGTATTGTCTTTTTGTGTCCTACATTGGCATTACTAATATATATAAAACATACATTTACATATGTATGTTTTGTGGTTTAGCTTCCAAAATACATAACACATGTGATGTAATTGCCACAATAGACTATCTTCAGAGAAAGTTTTTAATCCAAAACAGTAATTGATATAAGAATTAAGCATAAGGTTTCTGCCTATTAATTTGAAGCAGACTGTTGTATTTAAAAGGTATCTTTTTTGGTAAGCAAACAATGAACTTGAAAATGTTCATTAATTTCTTTAAATCTGGTTAACATCAATGAGATTCCATTAAAACCATTTAAAAATAACAATAACTTGAAAACTTAAAAGTTTTTGGTTTGATTGCTAATGTCTGAGGTTAGAAGCCATGTACTCATAAGGAGTAAAAATGTTTTGCAGACATGAACCAGTAGAAGAAACTAAACAAGATGGAGGATTGGACTAAACAAGCACATTACATATCTTATTAATTTAAATTCACTAAATCACTTTATACATATATTTCATTATATGTGTCTAAAAATATCCTGTCCAACCTGAAGAAAAAATTCTCACTTGTGTAAAGCACAGTATTCCAAGGAGGCTGACTGAGAGTGTTTCTGGTTTTATAGCTGCTGAACCCTGAGGACGACCTCTTGCCAGGAAAGATTCGGGACAGCAACCGTTCAACTCTCCTAGCTACAATCCAAGAGCACGGCTATCCAACAATCAATTTGGGAATTGTGGGTGATAAGTAAGTACCACATGTTAGTAAAGATGTCACTTCATATTCATGTGATGCACTTTATGGCATCCATGGGAAAAAGAAATGCCAGAGAAAATGTCACTCATTACAAATGTCACAGTGTTGTGACAAGGCACATCTTGAAGAAAGTATTTAACCCTTTTCATTATAGAAAGAAATAAGTATTCTAATATTAGGATGAATATTTTGAAAAAAAATTTAATTATGTTTAATTTGTTTTGCATTCTGTTTGTTGAAACAGATAATCTATTTCCTGTTGAAAATTGAATTTATTGCTGCAGGATCCTTCCAAGCACTAGACTTAAAACACATAAAGAGAGAGAGTTTTACAGCAGCTATACTCTTTTTCTGGTCAAATAAAGGGAGAAGGAAGTTTCTCTCAGAGTTTATTTTCCATGCCAAAATTGTTTTATAGTATAATTTTTTGTCATATTCTGAGTTTTTTGAGAAAGGCCCCACTGCTTCATATTGCTCAATATTTCCAGAAATATGTGGAAGAATTTTTTTTTTAACTTTAGTGATCTTTGCTTTGATTGCCACAGACTAGCACCCTACTGATCAGTCTTTCTGTTCATCTGATAGCCAATTGCTCCTTGTTTCCCAGTGGTAGTGAAGTGGCATCTCTTGAGAGCTCTGGGATAAGTGATTGAAGTGTTCAGCTTTCTGTCCTTTGCAAGACTGGGCAGTGACTGCTATCCATGGCTTGAGTTTCTCAGCATAATGTATTTCCTCAATGTATTGAGACCTAGAGGCTTTGAATAATCTTTCTTGCTTTTCTGTTGGGGTATCAAACCAACTGATAGACTTGGTTTGACAGGGAGTTATTCAGGTCATCCCAGTGGGTAATTAAAAGTAAAAATAAAAAAAGAAAAGAAAAACAGATAAGCAGATGACATGATCCCAGTCAGGGACTAAAAGGCTACTATTACAGAACAGGTAATTTCAAACCCAGTTTTCCTTAAATCACTATTCAATACAAAACATCACTAGCTTGACTGAAAGTATATGAATGGGCCAGCCACTGCATGGATTTGCAATAATTAAACCAACCTGCATGGTGGTTGCAGGAAATGCAGTTGACTTTGAAGTACTCTTACAGGGAATGTGACATCACAGTTGTGATCTTAGGGAAGGCAAACCCTTCTGGATACTCTCACTGAGTCTAAATTCATGAGGCTGTTCTTTCCAGGAGTGGTATCTAAATGTCCTGGATCACTAGAGCTTTCTATATTTTAAAGACATTTTTAAACTTTAAAACATAAATAGAAAAGTTTTCAAACTAAAATATTATATTCAGAGATCAGTTTCTAGATTTGTGTAGCTAAGAAAAAAGAAAACAGCCACAAAAAGTCTCTTATTTCCTGGGAGTCATCTCTGTGTAGAGGGATTGGCAGGGGTTTTCTTCAGCAAAATACTGTAGGTGGAACTTTTTACCACCTGCAGGAGCAAAAGTAATAGCTACTGTTACCAACATTATTGTCAATGACAACTTACATCCTGTGTTACCAATGGCTTCATCCAGTGGACAAGATGCTTTCCCTGGTAGTCCCCTCTGGAAAAATAATACTGTAAAGCTTGTTTGTTCTTTATGGCTTTGTCCTAATCAAATAGGTACAGTGTTAACTTTGTTGTAAAGTCAACACTATCGAAAGGAGAGTTTAACTTAAGGTCATTGTGCAAAACTGTAACTATGTACTCCACTGCCTTCAGGATTTGTTTCTGTTCTGTTTCTCCTAGGCATGGAGAGTCTGTGAAGATAATTTTGAAAGTAATAAATGACAAACAACTTTAAAATCATAGAATCATTTAGTTTGGAAGAATCTTTAGCAAGTCCAACCAGCATTCCCAAGTCCATAACTAAACCATGTCCCCAGGTTCCACACCTACATGCCTTTTAAATACCTCCAGGGATGGAAACTCCATCACTTCCCTGGACAGCCTGTTACAATGTTTGATGGCCCTTTCAGAGAAGAATTTTTTCCTGATATCAAATCTATATCTCCCATGCTGCAACTTGAGGCCATTTCCACTCATCCTGTCACAGGGTACTTGGGAGAAGAGCCCAGTCCCCACCTGGCTATACCCTCCTGGTTGTAGAGAGTGATAAGGTCTCCCCTGTACCTCCTTTCTCCACGCTGAACAATTCCAGTTCCCTCAGACACTCCTCATCAGACGTGTGCCCAAGATCTTTAAACAGCTTCATTGCTCTTCTTTGGAGTATCTCTCTTGTAGTGAGTGCAATTTAAGGCCCAAGAGAACTTCTTGTTTTTCTAGATTTTTTACAAATATATTTTATGACCTTTTTTTACTTGTCAGATGCTAGCTGAACAACAGGCAGCAAACAAATATGTCAGTCTAAGTGCCTGCAGCTTTGCTTTCAGTTATGGAAGAGGTTGATTCTTTTGAATCTTAGCTATTAAAATCATCTCTGAGTCTTGAGATAGTATTTCCTTGGCAAAGGTAGTAACAGTTCTTTTTAAATGTTTCATTTTCTGCTTTTTTCTGTTTCTTGCTAAGAAAGCAGCTTCCGCAGAGGTAGTTATTTTACTCATAGAGATAATATCCTCCAATCACAGAGTGTACTTTGCAGTAAGGTTTGAAAGAATAATTTAGTACTGTTGACTTAGCTAAGAATCTTCTGCACCACATATCAGAATTCCTTCTTAGCAAGTCTTCTGTCATTCTTCCTCACTCACATGCCCAATCCATATCTTTACAGCAAAATGCACCTGCAGTTCTGTTTCACTCAAAAGGCAAATCTGGCTGTGTAAATCAGTTTGATAAGAAGTACGGTGTTATTTCATGGTGTTATTCCATGGTGTTATTTCATTATGTAATAAAGCTAACAGAGTGTTGCCCATACACGTATTTAAGTACATATTTTTGGACTAACATGACTGATTTGATGGAGTACTGTGGCACTTGGACAAATGCAGGAGACTTACCAGAAAGATATTACAAAGGGTACAATTTTGACACTTTAGATATCATGTCTGTAGAAGAGAGGAACAAGCCTTCAGTGTCTGTTTTATGGTTTACTGAAGTTAAACCATGTGTGTTTGTGTGTACTCATGTATATGTGCATTTTGTGTGTATAATATGTATCCAGACATTGAAAAATAGATTTTATATGCCTGCAATATCTACTGGTGTAGTAAAAATACTGGCAAGCATACTTTTCAGAAGGAAAAATTTAAAACTTGTACTTTTTCTTTTAATGTATCAGGGTATATATTTGTTCCTTCCCATTGTCCTGGTTTGTACATGCTTTAGATTTGGGTGATTGTTTTCCTATTTCCTTTTTTAAATACAATTTTCATGGGGCAAATTTTACTTCATTTTACTGGGAGCACCACTTCCTGTGCACCATAAGCACTAATGGAGTTTGAGACAGCATCTAATAGGGAGCACAGTTGAGTATTACAATTGCTGTAATGAGTCAGGTTTCTAACAACCATGGAAATCCTCTTCAATCATATTTGCAGATCTAATATTCAAGCATAAAAAAAATTTTAGAGTAGCATTTGCAAAGACAAACTTAGAGGTTATTCCTTTATCTAATTTCAGCATACAAGTCACTCAGGGGTGTTTAGGTAAAAAAATAGCTTGTCTAGCTGCTTTAAAGCCATGTGATAGATGTAAACACAGAGATTGTGAAAAGGTGGGGAAGCACACTGAATATCTGGGTTTCTGAAGAGTAGTTAGAAGCATTTTAAAAATGCCTTTGCATATTAAGCATATGTGAAGTTACATTTTGAACTGACCACTCAAGTCTGACTTAGCCTAAAGCTGTACTTTCATTTGAAACCAATGTTATATTTATTTTGGGAGCATTTTATCGATTTCCGAGATTGTCACCATCATTTCTGTTGTCATAAATTGTATATATCGCTCAATATTCAAAATAAAAACCAGCAATTCCAAAACCCTTTGATAAAGTTTTCAGTTGAAATCCTAGAAGAAAGCAACAGGAGAAAGGAACAGACCTAGGAATGTGATACAGCTGAAGTTAGGTCTGGCCAGAAGCCAAGATTTTCTCTATTTGTGTTCTTAGCACGTAAAAGCCAAGCTGTTTGGAAAGTACACATCTTTGAGTAGAAATGGAAGATATATCCATTTCCACAGTTACTGCAAACACAAGAAACAAATGCAAAACTAAGGAAGGGAAAAACCTTTCTGATACTGTTGCTGCTGTTGGGTCTTATATTTTTTGTCTGAATCTCAGAGTCACTTGTGAAAAAATTATACAAACAACTGGCCAGTTAAATTTGGTATTCCAATGTACTTTTGAATGTTGCCTCCTAATAACAAGACCAAGTTGAAAAAGCTTCTAATTTCATTTACTTTGCTTATAGATTATGAATTTATTTGCTTTTTTGGAAACTAATGATAAAAATAAGTTGTATATCTGATCTGTAGAAGTCTATTTGTCAGGATAATTTTGTGTCTGATTATCATTTGTTGTTGTTCTTTGTATTCCATTGTTTAAAGTGTAAATTTTAGCCCTAGCAAAATCTGCTGCAGCATGGCCCTCTGTTTTACAGAGTCATCTTCCCTTTTGACAGCTTTTCTTCTATGAAATACTTTCTTATTAAACTTGCTAAGGAATTTTGATCACGTATGTAATTAATTCAATTTCCTCTGTTTTTACCTTTGTTTACATGAGTGCATTTCCCCCTTCTCTGCATTCTTTTCCCTATTTTCTAATTCCCTTATCATTTTTCTGAGAGGCATGTATAATATTTAGTTGCTTCCAGCAGCATTTTTATCTATGAGTCTGTGATTTCACAGCTGAGAAAGAAAGAATCTCTGTCTTTAGGAGAAAAATTCAGAAAATTCATATTATTTCATCACTTGCTTGAAAGATTTATCTGAATAGTTATTAAATCAGCATTTTATGAGGGCTTTTCTACATGAGAAGTCTTTAGTTTCTTATTTCTTTACCTCTCCTTTTTGACATACTGTTGGACATAGAGCTCCTAAATGAC